AGGACCAATGGAAAGTCTCCAAGACGACCATTGTGGGGGCATCTGAAATCCCACCCAATATGGCCAGGCTGGTAGGGGCTGTGCGGTGACCTCAGCTGAAAGGAAGTGCGAGGTGAACTTCACATTCCCATGGCTCCACAGGACAGAGTCCTGGGAATGGTGGACAAGCCCCCAGGTTGGGGGATCTCTGAGGATCACCCAAAGCACCCACGATCACAAGAGTCACCTTTACTCACCTGCTATCCAGAGGACCTTGAGAATTGGAGACAAGGGCACCACCTTGTGATTTTACCCTTTCTCCTATGGGCAGGAAGCTCATTTACCTGTTGATGTGAAAAGGTGGGGTCCGGAGAGAGAGAGTGAGAGAGAAAAGCTACCCCATCTCCCTTCTCATGTGGCTGGGGAGATGGAAGAACATGTAATGCCCCATCAAGTTCAAAGTCTTGATTATGATTTAACACTGAACATTCTCCTGAAAGGGGACAGTGGTTGTAACTCAGAGGGGCAAAGGACTGTAAGACTGCTGTTTCCTGAAGGTGGCAAGACAGGGCATAGTCCCGCTGAGGTTTCATCAGGGGCAGGCAAAGTCATTCTTTTTATTGTTATGCATCACGTTTGCTTAAAGTTCCACACACACACTGCATAAGCTTTTTCTCTCCCTCGCTATGCCATGAACTCCCTGATATCATGGCATATAACACCTTTGTGTTCCTTTAGGTACCTAGCACCATACCTAGCACGTACAAGGCTACAGCTGATAGTTGCCCATTTATTCATTGATCCTTGCCTTCAACATGTATTGAGAGCCCATGTTGGGTGGTAGCAAGAGGGCATGAAATGAAATGCATGTGACTTGTGTTCCAGGAGCTTGCTGTCTGTAGGCGAGGTATACGAGAAGTGTCTGCAGAACCTCACCCCACTCCAAGGGGAACAAATTCAAGCCCATGGATACCAGGTAGGAACGTGAATAAGAGAGGCAGTCTCTAACTGTAACACCTTGGGCAAGTCTAAGACAATAGGCGTGTTGGTAATTCTGGCAGAACAGGGCACACACCATGCCCCTCAGAAGGTGGCAGCCGTTCTTTATTACCTTATGAGAAGCCAAAACCACTGTTGCCAGATTGCCTGCTCCTCCAAAAAAGAGTTCGAAATCGGGAGTTTCATGTAAAATGTCACCAAAAACACCACATCTGTAGGTTCGTTCATTCCAAGGGTCACCATCCGGGGCCACTGTGCTGTTGTTGTCTCTCTCCCTTGGTGTTCCTGTTTATGAAGGGGCGGGGGGTGCCAGTAATTGTGAGCCATGTGCTGCTTCTTTAGGAATTAATTAGTCAGGGATTTGGAGCCACTTTATACAAAGAACTTAACTTTGTTAAAACACTCCTTGGCCCAAAGAAAAGATATTTTTAAAATCCCAACCCTAAGTGCTTAATCTGCTAAAATGTACAACAGATAAAATGAACACTTGGAAAAGAGCTTGCTTCCTGTTTCAGAAGAGCCCCTGGCCTCTACAATCTGACTACAGGGAAGGGGGCTTTCCCGCCAGTGGTATGACAACAAGCCACAGACTTATCAGACCAAGTCAGACTTTGAAAGGAACTAGTTGATAAGTTGCATTCACTGCAGCTTTATTACCTGGAAAATAGTTGCATCCGTTGGAGATGTAGTGACAGCTTCTAGGGCTGGTCCCCCATGGTGGGGCTCTCCTTTGAGGCCCTGCTCAGACACTGCTGGGATCCAAAGGCCCAGGAGCCAGACTGTAAATGGAGCTAGAGAAGTCCTGGGAGACAACACAGCGGCAGCCTAGTACAGTTGGCTACCTGACACAAGTCTCCATGTTCTGGGTCCTGTTCTGGGGACAGTCCCAGGGGTAGCAATCTATACAAATACAATGTATGACTGCCTTGAGGTAAAACAAGGCCATGTTTCTCATTTTTATCACTAACTCCCATCTACCTTTATTAGCAGGAAATCTGATTCTCTAAACATCCCTTTAAACGTCCTAAGAATCCTAAGCACTTGGTTCCAGGAAGTCAGTACTGCATCTGCAGGCCTGATGGAGAGAACGGCGAAGCTCCCCTGACGATTGTTTCGGTGGCTGCCACAAGGTGGTGTTGTGGGAGACTGTTTTTGTGCAGGCCTGCACACAGCTGCCCTACACTTTGGGCGGAGGCCCTTGCTGGTGCAGGCAGGTCTTTGCCAGCCCACAGTAGTGCCACATGCCTGGCAGCATGAAGAAAGTGCAGGGTTGTAGGCCAGCACTTATTGTAGCACAAATTGGAATGGGGAGGGGGCGAGGGTGTGTCTAACCCGTTTTCTCAACTGGCCACTCTGAGATATCAGGCGGGCCACCAGAAATTCTGATTCCATAACTTTCTAGAAGGGCAGCAAAACTTTGAGACTGGCCTGCGCTAAGAGAAGGCCGTGGGCGTGGTTAAGAGCACAGATTTTGAAATCAGATCTACCTTGGCTCAAATTTTGACCCTTTAATACCTGTGTGATTTGGGGCAAGTTGTTCAGTGTTTCTGGGCGTCAGCTTCCTAGTCTATAAAAATAAGGATACAAACACCTATTTTATAGGTTGGAGAGCTAAGCCATGTAAAAAGCTCAGCGTGGCGTCTGACCATGCCAGATTCACAATGAAAATGGCCACTGTTGGGACGAAGGAAAAAACTCCACTGTTGCCCTCTGAAGGTTTGCTGAAAATTCGACTCACAAAAGGCAGATTAAGTGGAGAAAGAGCATACAAATTTATTTTATTAGAGCTAACGTGACACGGGAGCCTTTAGGGTGAAGACCCAACCCCCCAGTGGGGTGTAGAGGCTTATATGTTCTACTTCTTTGTTTTCTCTAACTTGCTTCAGAGGAAGACACCCTTCTTCTCAGGGGAAAGGGAGATGGGGAAGTGTGGATGATTTTAGAGGAGTAGTCTTTTTTCCTATAATATGGATTCAGTTAATGAAAACTCAGGGAACGTGCTAACGGCAATTGTTTTCTTCTTTGGTAGGTGTAGACTTTAGGCAGATAAGGGAACTTCAGAGAACAGCATTCTCCTATGCTTTGGGAGAGATGGGTGGGGAAGCAGAGGTCAGAGAGACCTTGAGGCTCCTTTTTCAGTTCAACATGTACAAATGGCCATATGTTGGGGTATTGGTTTCTGAGCCCCAATATCACTCATAGGTGTTTTATTTGGGCATTAATTGTGCCAGTTTTTTTAAAAAAAGAAAAGACCTGTTAAATTTGAAAACTGCAGAGAATAAGTACATTTTAGCTAGAAATTTTGATAAATTGGTTGTATTGAATAAGGCTTTCAACCTGTTTTTTATATATATATATTTATATATTTTTTTTACTGATCAGCACAGGAGTTTTGACCTGCTCAGTTTCCGACCTGGGCTGGTTTACTCCTCCTTAGGCAACCTGGTGGCCCCCCTGCTCCACTTAGTGCAGACACCTAATGGTCACAGTGCACTACAGCCCAAAGCTTCTGGGCTCCAGCACTGTTCCCGCCTCAGCCTCTCCAGCAGCTATGACTGCAGGTGTGCACCCACTGCACCCAGCTATATTCCTATTTTTAATGATCAAAATCATAGAACAAATGTTTACTCTTAAATCCTATTCAGCGATGACCTTGTGTAGTACTTGACATAGAGTTAAGTCATCACAGTGTCTGGTTTTTAGCTCTTGCACTCTTAGACGACATAAAAGCAGACAGTCATGAAAGGGCTGCCCAGCCCACGCTCCCACCTCTGAGCCCTTACATAAGCTCTGCCAGGTTTACCTTCCTGCTCCGGACTGATTTCTCCATAGAGGACCTTGCCTCCTGCTTTGCTGAAAAATCAGAAGCATGAGGCAGGAACTGCCTCAACTTCCTGCTGCCAAATCTCAAGTCTCCTGAATCCAGCTTCCCACTATGCCCTTCCCCTCATCCAGGTGGAGCAGTCCTTCAAGGCCAGCCCCCCCAAACCCTTTTACCTCTTTCCTCCTGCCTTCTCAGGACGCTTGCATTAACTCCAGATCACTCTGTATTTTCAACCTCACTTTTTCCCGGATTCTTACGATTGACATCGGACTATGTTCAAAATTCATTAAAGATAAGAAAGTGAAGATCCTTTTATCCACCACTATTAATTAGGAAGCAAGTTTGACTGCTATAAAGGCCCCAAATAATCAAATCCACTTAAAAAGCTTAAACAAGATGAAAGTTTACTTATTTCTCACATAAGCTGGCAGGGTGGTACCTCAGGGGCAGGGACTTCAGCTCCTTAGGGGTCCTCACTCTGCCATTCCTAGGGGTGGCCTTGTCTCCACAGTTCATGATAACTCGCACTGCTGTAAGCAGCATCGGGAAAGAGGGATGGGGAGATGGAGAGCCCTACCCCATGAGGTATGACTTCCACTCACCTCCCAATAGGCCAGAATTTAGCAATATGGCCATGCTTAGCTGCAAGGAACGCTGGGGATCAGAGCCATTATTCTGGTACCCAGTTGACATCGTTTGGATATTTGTCCCTGCCCAAATCCCGTGTTGAAATGTAATCCCCAGTGCTGGAGGCAGGGCCTGGTGGGAGGTGTGTGGAGCATGGGGCGGCTCCCTCCTGAGTGGCTTGGATCATCTCCTTGGTAATAAGTGAGCTCACAGTTTAGTTCACACAAGATCTTTTCTTTATACATTAGTGAACCAATGAAACCTCTTTTCTTTATAAATTACCCAGTCTCAAGTATTTCTTGACAGCAATACAAGAATGCCCTAATATACTAGTTAAACATAGAGGCTCTATTACTGTACCAGGAGTGAGAATAGGTATAGAGTACAGCAAGCAAGTCTGCTCCCACACACCATATCCCCGCCAAGACAGCCCAATCTCTATTTTCTCCTCACCCCAAGTTTTCAAATGAGTTGTCCACACTCATCATCTCTACTTCCTCTCTGTGTTTGTTTTCCACATAGACGAGAATTTGCAAAAGTGTTCTGAAGCAAGGGAGAATGTTTTTTCTCATGTCAGATGGGCAATGTGCTGACATATAACAATGTTTGAGGGAGGCACATCTCACTCATAAGCACGAAAACCCAGTCGTCACACGTAACTGCAAAAGGATCAGAGAGAATATTACACAACTTCATTCTGTGAAGGTGGGACTAGGGGTGGGTTGATCTGCTTAAGAAGACCTGGAAGGTGAGGTCCAGGGAGCTAAGTAAAACCATGGAAGGAGACGTTGTTGTCCAGGAATAGGCTGAGTCAAGGAGACACAACCAGGAGGCAACCCATGCTGGGGGCTGAGAGAATTGGATCTTGTGTGAAACTGAAGGAAGGAGGAGGGGACACACATGGTGGGAAGAGGGGATCAGACAAGGGTTGGGGAGGCAGATGGGAGGCAGTGAGGGTGCCTTTAAATTCCTGATCTCATGCTTTGTAAATGTGGTGATGGGGGTGCCTTTTCACGTGGTACCAACTGTGCTTTCCCAGAATGGGGTAGCTCCTTAAAGGAGACATACAGAGAAGGATGAATTTTTTTTTTTTTTTTGAATCAGAGTCTTGCTGTGTCACCCAGGCTGGAATGCAATGGCACGACCTTGGCTCACTGCAACCTGCCCCTCCCGGGTTCAAGTGATTCTCCTGTCTCAGCCTCCCAAGTAGCTGGGATTACAGGCACCCACCACTGTACCCAGTTAATTTTTTTTGTATTTTTAGTAGGGACAGGGTTTCACCATGTTGCCCAGGCTGGTCTTGAACTCCTGACCTCAAGTGATCCATCTGCCTTGGTCTCCCAAAGTGCTGGGATTACAGCTGTGAGCCACCGCACCCGGCCAACAAAATTCTTATGTGCATTGATTTTTCTCTACTTAGATCTGTTCATACTTATGGTGTTTATTAGGTAACCCATGCTTGGAGCATTGCAGATGAAACTTATGAAATCTTTGAAAACATAGCCTTTCATATCAATGCAAAGCACACATTAAGATAAATCTGGGGTCCAGGCGTGGTGGCTCACTCCTGTAATCCCAGCACTTTGGGAGGCCGAGGCGGGCAGATCACCTGAGGTCAGGAGATCGAGACCAGCATGGCTAACAAAGTGAAACCCCGTTTTTACTAAAAATACAAAAAATTAGCCAGGCGTGGTGGCGCGTGCCTGTAATACCAACTACTCAGGAGGCTGAGGCAGGAGAATCGCATGAACCCCAGAGGCGGAGGTTGTAGTGAGCCGAGATTGCACCATTACACTCCAGCTAGGTCAACAAGAGCAAAACTCCATCTCAAAAAAAAAAAAAAAGAAAGAGAGAGAAAAATCTGGATAATTTCTGAGTCACACTGCCAGGGATCAAATCCTGACTTCCATACGAATTCGCTCTGTGGCTTTGGGCAAGTGACTTTACCCTTCTATTATTAATTCATAAAGTGGAGATAATAAGAATACATCTAGTTCCAGTAAGGTTGTTGAAACTAACGTAAAACTCAATCCAAATGGGCTTTAACAGGAAAAGGGAAATTACAGGCTTACGTAATTCAAAAGATCTAACGGTAGCCTTCAAGTCTGGTTTGATCAAGGCTCCAGTTCAGTTTCTCTGAGATTTCCTTTGACTTTGATCATAGTAGCAAATTGGGTAGGAACGCAGATTTCCCTTTGCACATCTAGTAAAGGATGTTCACAACCAGAATTCCTGGCCGTGGTTCTAAGACTCAGTCTAGCTGGACTGGAATGGTGACCACCCACAGAACCTCACCGTGGGCAGGGTTGATGAGCTGAGCCTAGGGCCATACCCCACCCCTGGAGCCACGTATGGAATTGGCTTCCCTGGAACCTGCTGGACTCCTTTCAGAAGTCAGAGGCTGCTGGGAAGAAGGAAGGGAAAATACAAGCACGGGAAGCAAGCTAGAGGAATTGTTACTGACCACAGGTTCTTAGGCGCCCATGCAATAGAAATCGACAGGAGGCCAAACAAGTTTCCCAGACAAGACTTTATGGGAGCTTGTGCTCCAACACAAGGAAACTAGCCCAGGAGCAAGAGTTCTTGGCTGGCCCCACTTAGGGGAGTGCCTTTCAGTGTCTTAAGGAGGGTGACATGCATAATTCATGAGGTGGGTGAGCTTCACTACATGTATGGGGTGGAGCGCAGGGTATGCAGGCATGGTAACGAATCATGCCAAGACATACTGTTGCATGAGCAGAAAACAGCAGATAAGCCCTCCCCTGGGCAGGGATTTTAGTATTATAATGAGGCAAGGGACAAAGATCATTCTTCTGATCTTATGTGCATGCAGGCTGTGGGATTAACTCCCTTGAGTAAGATTTAGGGTGGATGCTGCTTATCTTAGTTTCTTCAAGGTTGCAAGTTCAGCAAGGATGCGCTGGAGTGGTGGTGGTGCAAAGTCTGCTAATTGACAGGTGTGGGAGTTGGGGCCTCATCCTGGTGAGGGCCGAGTCCTGTCCCTATGCTGTGTCACAATCTGCTATATCCATGCACATTGTTTTGACCCAGGACTCCTCCCCCAGCAGTTATGGCCTTCTGGTGTCCTAAGTTAACCATAAAGAAGCAAACATCGAGCTAGTTTGTCATGGGAAATTTTGACAGACTCAGAAAGGAAAAGGCATTCTAGGTCACAGCAGTGCATTGTCTATACTCATTTCCAAGAGCCACATTGTAACCCACATGTGTAATGGTTGTGAAACTCTTAAACTCTTTCTCCAGGGCCAGAGTATGACTTCCATGGGTCTCCATTTTTGCCTTCGTGGTCCCTTTCTTCTACAAAAAGTACTAAAAACTATATTTTATTACTAAGTTGATACTGACAGAGTTCAAGACATAGTATCCACAAATATAGCACGCTGGCATTTGAGAAAACAGCAGAAGCAGGAAGGTCACTCTCACCTTCTCCGCACTGTCTCCCTGAAGAGGGCCTTAGAGAATTATCTGACCTTCTTCCGAAGAAAACCTTCATTCCAGAGGTGTCCTTCCTACACCCAAGGAAAGGAATGTCCTTTTCTCTGAAGACACAGGAACACAAAAAGAATCTAAACAGGCCTTGCTAAGTACTTTCCAGTTTAATATCATTAGATCATACTTTTTTATCCTCCAGTCATACTTCTGCGTGGCTGTCTATAAAATACACAGTTTTTTCCTGTTTCTTTGGGACTTCATTTCTGAGTGTTCCCATGTTACATAATTTTTTCTTTTTCTTTTTTCTCTCTTTCTTTTTTTTCTTTTTTCTTTTTTTTTTTTTTTTTTTTGAGAGAGAGACAGGGTCTCACTCTGTCACCCAGGTTGGAGTACAGTGGCACAATCATAGCTCACTGCAGCCTCAACCTCCTTGGCTCAAGTGATCCTACAGCCTCAGCCTCCAAAGTAGCTGGGACTACAGGTGTGCACCACTGCACCTGGCCAACTTTTAAAATTTTTAGTAGAGACGAGGTCTGGCTATGTTACCTGACTGGCCTTGAACTTCTGGGCTCAAATGATCCTCCTGCCTTGGCCTCCCAAAGTGCTGGGATTGCAGGCATAAGCCACTTTGCCCAGCCCACATAAAATTTGTATTAAATAAATTTGTGTGCTTTTCTCTTGTTAATCTGTCTTTTATTATAGGTGCCTCAGCCGTGAACCTTGTGATGAGTGAGAAGCCTTTCTCCCCTACAGTATGTCTGTATTAACATTATATATTAAAACATTGCCTTCTAGTTAAAAAAAAAAATTGAAACATTTTCATGAGCCACTAAAAGTATCACGAGCTCTGGGCTCTGCTCCAGCTGTGCCCAATAGATGGTTCCGCCCTGCCTTTATTCCCAATGCACCACAAGAGAAAAGTTTCAATGTGCACCTTGCAGAGAATTTCATCTTCTTTATGTTACCCGCGGCATTTTCTGAGCAGCTTTCCTGGAGCTCCGTCTGCCATCTTGCTTATGAAAACCCCAAGTTGTGTAATGCTTACCTGACAGAATGGTAATCCAGATCTCCTTCAGGCTACAGGCAGATGGAGGCCTACAGAGATGGCCTGAAAATAAGCAGCTGGAGTCCTAAAAGAGTGGAAAGGAAAGTGTTCTGTGCAGTGTTCAGGCACTGAAGCTGTCCTGTTAGTGAATGAGGAAAGAGGAAGAACCCTAAAATGATCCCAATGGCCTGCACACCTTCCTTCCTTCTGTTAAGTTTCTATAATCTTGAGTAGGTTCATCCTTTTATTAAAAAGTTTAATAAGCCAGGCATGGTGGCTCACGCCTGTAATCCCAGAACTTTGGGAGAAGGCGGGTGGATCCTTTGAGCCTAGGAGTTTCAGATCAGCCTGGGCAACAAAGTGAGACCCTGTCTCTTAAAAAAAAAAAAAGGAGAAGAAGAAGCAGCAGCAGCAGCCAGGCGCGGTGGCTCATGCCTGTAATCCCAGCACTTTGGGAGGCCAAGGCGGGCGGATCACGAGGTCAGGAGATCGAGACCATCCTGGCTAACATGGTGAAACCCCGTCTTCTACTAAAAATACAAAAAAAACTAGCCAGGCGAGGTGGCGGGCACCTGTAGTCCCAGCTACTTGGGAGGCTGAGGCAGGAAAATGGTGTGAACCCGGGAGGCGGAGCTTGCAGTGAGCCGAGATTGGGCCACTGCACTACAGCCTGGGCGACCAAGCGAGACTCCGTCTCAAAAAAAAAAAAAAAAAAAAGTTTAACCAGCCTGGGCAGGCTAGGTTATGCTGTGGTAACAAACGACGCCAAACTCTCAGTGCTTAAAACCACAAAGATTTATTTCGCATCCATTCTACATGTCCTTCTTGGGGTGGCTGGGGGCTGGCCTCCATGTCCTCCTCACTCAGAGACCCTAGCGGATGGAGTGGTGCCATCTGGAACCGGGACAGCAGTAGTGGCAGGAAGAAGGAAAATGTGGCAAATTGCAAATTGGTGGGTGAGCCCGCCACTGGGAAGAGACCCGTGTCACTTCCACTCGCTTTTCTTTGGCCTCCAACACTGATTCAGAAGGCGGGGAATCAGACGATTCCACCATGCTTCCAGAGGGGCAGAATGAGAATACGCGATGGCGAGCCTCAATGATTACTGCAATAATTTTCATCTTTTTTTTTCTTTATCCTTTCATTCTTACAAATCTTGCACATGGTGACCAATAG